GGGGGGTTTTTTCCAAAATTTTGGGTTTTTTCGGGTTCCCCTTTCCGGGGGGGGGGGGAGGGGAGGTGGGCCTTTCCCCTGCGGAAACTGGGCCTTTTGGCCTGGTTCGGGGGGCGGGGGTTGGGGGTTTCCGTCCCGGAGAAAAAGGGGGCCCCGGCCTGGAGCGGCCACCCAAAGAGGGGGTTCCGGTTGGGGGGAAACTTTTGGGGGGTCCCAAAAAAAAGTAAAGGGGGTTTGGGGCCCCGGGTGCCCCCCCCCCCCCAAAGGCCGGTCCAAACACCGGGGGCCAACCCAAGAGGGGGCCACAGGGTTTTCCAATTTTTCCCGGGGGGTACAAACAGAGAGAAAACAGGGAGATTTCGTCGTGTGGAGAAAAAAAAAAATTTCCGCGGGGGGCCCAGTCCCACTCCCACAAAATGGCCCGGGACGGCAAAAGGGATTAGCGGGGGAGGACAAAAACCCGCCCCGGGGGGGGGGGGGGGCAACACACGCCTGATACTTACCGAAAGACGTCAGACCCGGGATGCTCTTCCCAAACAGCGCCTGGGCCGACATCAAGTCCGCCGAGGTCCGGGCGCCTTCGCCTGCCCCACAGCCTTCACTGGCGGCCGGTCCTCCCCCCCTGTCCTGCTTCGCGGAACCATCACCGCAGTCGCCGGCACGCCCTCCCGCAGCGGTGGTTGGTGGTCGCGCTAGCCGTTGGTTGCTGCTGCTGCTGCTGCCACCGTTAGCGCCGTGCCTAGAACTCGCCACGTCTTCATCTGGCTCGTGTCGCCGGTGCCGTTGATGCCCCCGCTGCTGCTGCTGCTGCTGCTGCTGCTGTTGCTGCGGTTGAGCCGGAAAGCCGTTACACCCCAGCCCAGCCGCCGACAGAGCAAACTCAGCCACCGAGGTTGGTGACGAGGTTCGGCCGTCACCGCCTCCGTCCGGGGCTCCCCTCCCCCCCTCTTTACCCGTCCCAGCCGCGTCTCCCCTGCTGTACCCCCTACAACGACCCTGATCCAGACCGCCGCCGTCATGACCGCCAGTTTCTACCGTCATGCCTACTCCGCCGCCGGTGCCACCTCCTGCTGCTGCCGCGGCCGGGCCTCGACTCCCTCCGCTGATCCCTCTCGGACGCGTTACCGGATGAGGTTCTTCCTCATCCCCGCCTGACGAAGACACTGACCGTCGTCGATCCAGCACGCTGCTGACGCTCATGTTCAGCTGACGAGAGAGGCTGAACGCGCAGAGGCGGAGGGGAAGGGAGAGTGTACTCATGCCTTAGCGGTTGAGCCAATGACCGTCCTCGAGAGGACCGAGAACTGGTTGGGGGGGATGTAAGTCTTGAGCCAAACAGATCACTCTTATGACGGACGGAGGAAACGGCCACCGCACAAAGGGGAGCACTGCAATCTTGTCGGAGTTGTAATCCCCACTGCATGCAAACACACAAACAGGACGTCGTCCTCGTGGCCACCCGTATCACACAACCCGACTGCGTTCTTGAGGGGCTGGGGGTAGAAAACTACCAGCAGCATTCGTGAGGACATTAATCTTGGTGTTAGTAGGGGATAACGGTTACGAACCCCCCTCTCTATTTTGTAGACAAATTCTCCCTCGGGAAGTAGGCTCTTCCCCATTTTGCTCGGGCGTTAAAAAGCAGAAAAACAGATTGAAATTTCGAGCAGATTTTTCGAGCAGATTTCACCCAATCAAGCATATTTGGCGAAAAAATGAGCATATTAGACACTTTTGGGCAGATTTTCGAGCAGATTTGGCCAAAGAAAAAAGAGCATCTGCTTGTCGAAAAACAGGAGCAGCAAAAAAACAAAAGGGAGCAGAACGGGGAAGGGCCTATCGAGAAGGCGGTTTCAAAAATTACCGTCGCTTGGCGGAGTTCCAGTGATTCTTGATGGCGTTATCCGTCCTGCCGGGGAGTATCTTGGCGATCTCGGCCCACTTGTTCCCGTGTATGCTGTGGGCGCGCATGAGGGTGTCTTCCTCCGCCTTCGTCCAGGGATCCTTCTTGATGGCAGGGTCCAACTGATTGTGCCACCTGGCAAAAAGATACAGCAAGAGGAGCGGTTTGAAGGTTTTTCGGAAGAATACTTCCCGAGGTAGATCGCTTAACTTTAAGATAATCGTCTCATCTGGTATCTGCACCGGCAGGAGAGGGGGGATCTCTCCGAAAGCTCCCTAGGGATCGACGAAAGAGGGGCCGTGGGCGACAACCCTCCTAAGTTTCGTGATCTTGATCCAGTTTGCCGCATATCCATGTGAATGTCACCTCACAATTTCTCGTAGATGGTGACGTCAGAAGACGACCTGTCGGAGATCTGCCTTCGGGCTGTGGTGCCACGGACAAGCATCTACAGGGGACCAGCTGCCCCCTCTCTCATAAACCTCTTCGTTCATCCGTTCTTCGTCTCTCACGAGAGGCTGAATCAAAAGCACTCATCCGATCAGAAACATCAGCCGACCGGGAGACAATCGTCTCACTACTACAGGAACTACAATAGTAAGAGAGCTCAATACAATGCAAGTACGTAGTAGGACATTCGTCAAGTGCGCCCAGTCGGGAATAAAAAAGCCAGTTTCTGCCGGAATGGCAACCGCACGTCCCCTCATATGAAGGGTTTAGTATCCCTCCGAGCGCGCCAGTTTAGTTTGCCCTTGTCTTCCTGTTCGGGGCTGCGCGTCTTGGATCGCCGCTCTCGGTCGCGGAACTAGTGGGTAGGCGTGGCTTCTTTTCCGGACCGAAACTTTCTATTTGTTTCGTTCAAATGTCGGTCGTCACAATTTAACCACTTTCAAGAACTTGGCTCGTGGTTTTCTATCACCGGTCTTACCATTGACTGATTGACCTCGAATCTTGGACAACACAGACGACTTCCTCAAGATTCGGTGAGCGGATTCTTTTTGGTTGTTCTTCCAGCTACACACAACACATGTACAAGGTACCTTTCGCCAAAATAAATACTGTGGTAGTGTTTTTGGAAAGTGTACATAACCACATAACCTCACTGAAAGACTATTACTGTACCCGTTCGAGATGTATAACCACAACCACGGAACCGCAGGCGAATCGTGTTTACTTTCGCGAAAATGAAAGAGGCGATTTCTCCTGACACACAGATGTGTATAGGCCCTTCCCCCGCCGGCGATCGCCGAAAACACCGATTTCTGAAAAACAGCCGAAAAAAAAATCGCCGAAAAAAAAAAAAAAGTCGCCGATTCTGAAGGGGGGCTCCGCCGAATCGAAAAAAGATGTCGCCGATTAAATTCACGGTGCCCCCTGTACCTCCTTCGTAGCTCTACAAACAAAGCAGAAAGCTATGACATGTAATAACATGTTATTACAATATGTCATAGCCTCTGTAGCTCTATACAGCTGCACAGCTTCACACACGGCTGAACGGCGGTGCTATGTCGTCGCCTCTTAGCGGTGTGGAAGCCTACTCTAATAGTAGGTGGGATAATAGCAGTGAAAGCTAAGGGGATTCGGACAATGAGGTGCAATTTGTCCGCCAAAAGACAAGTGCCGCGGCTGCCACCAGCGGCGGCAGCAGAGGCAGCGGCAGCGGCGGCACTGGCAGCGGCAACGGCGGCAGCGGCAATGGCGGCAGCGGCAGCGGCGGCAGCGACGGCAGCGGCAGCAGCGGCAGCGGCAGAGCCGCACCACCTGCTTCCGGTGCAAGAGCTTCGCCGCGGGTCTCTTCTGCTGATTCAGCTTCTTCTAGCAGCAGGGCCTCTGCACGCCAACACAGCGTTGGTGGCACCACTTCCGCCGAAACTTCAAAATCGATGCCGCTTTTGCAACCATCCTCTGCGTTCATGGAACGAGTGTTTTCCATCCTGCGGTGTTGCTTTAATGAACGACAAGAAGAGAGCGTGTACAGCGACCGTATTTGCGCTTCCGCACTGCTCAAATCAAGTACAACAGGGGCAGGGTCCAAAGTAGCTCAGAAGAGAAGGAGGAAAGCGCCGCAGATGCCAACAACGGCGGCGGCGGTAGCGACGAAAGCGATGAAGACAGCGACTGAAGACCTGTGATTTGTAAATTTAATGCTGATGTCTTTATTGTGTCGTAGGTCGTAGGAGTAAAAGATTTTTTTGCCCCCAAGTCGCGCGTCATCCTATCCTATTTCAGAAATTTTTCGATGTTGAGTGCAGGTTAGGAATATTGCATGCTGTTATGCTGTCTCTAGCAAAGAAACAAAAGGGCAAACTACTTCGTTCGCTAATCGCCGGCAGGTGACCTCTGCAGCAGTCCAACAGTCGACAGCCTCGCGACCCGCTCGTTTGTGTGTACTAGAAGTACATGTACACTTCGATGAAGTCGCTGAAGTTAAAAATGGCATAGGTAGCAGCCGAAGAAAATAAGAAAATCGCCGAAAATCGCCGAAAATGAAACAGGACTCACCGAAAAAACATACTGAATCGCCGAATGTCGCCGAAAAAGAGTTTTCTTCTATCAGTTGTAGTATTTGCCAAAAAAAAATCGTGAATCGCCGAAAAAAAAAAGAAAAGTCGCCGGCGGGGGAAGGGCCTATAGATGTGTACTTAATTTACTGAACTTCACAACATTTTTTTGGCTCGCTCTCTCTAGGATTCCACTACAATATGGGCCCTGTGCCTATTCCGCACCCCCAGTTCTCTGGAACGCACTGACACGGCAACCAGGCGGGCGTGGACGGAAAGATGAGTTGTATCTACTGAACATACCTGAAACCAGCTGACTGCAACAGTAGGCAACATCAGTAGTAAATAGTCAGCTCGGTGCAAATAACGAGGAGGCCAATATACTCGCAGAGAGAGAGAGATAAGAGGCAGTAAGTTGTTGATGGTGCTTAGAGGAGCCTGTAGCGCGGGTGTTTATCCAACGTGCCCCCAACGGGGAGTGTTGTGCCTACAATACAGGTGGGGATCCTGTGGTGCATGCGTCGGAGAGAGAGCTGGCTGTGAGAAAATTCGGCTTTCGCCCGTTTCGTCCCCAACTGCTTCTGCCGTTGTGGAGAAAAAACCTCACACCACCGAGTCGAACAAAATAACGCAGGGATGGGGGAACCGAACCTCCGCAACCGAGGGCGTGCACGCACGTAGATCCCCCAGAGAGGGCGATCTCTCGGTAGCACCCCCTGGCTTTTGCTCGTTGCGGTGGTGAAAGTCCTACAGGCCCCAAGCCGCGGGTGGTAAAATGTTTTCCGTTACTCTCTATCTCGACTTGTTGTACCAGCAGTAGATTGCAGCAGCAGGAGTACGCCAAGGTTAGACGCGCGAACGCACTACTGGATCTCCTACGTCAGAGGCACCCGTTTCGAGGCTGCGGGGGTGCCCAGCATTGATCGGCTCACCTCTCGCGACACTGCTTGCCGGTGCGGTCCTCCCCCAATGACGAGAGCCTGGAGCCGATCAGGCCCCACTGCTTGACTCCCAGCTCCAGCACAAGCTTGACCATCTCGGCGTCCTCCTGCTTGCTCCACTTCCTCACGCACCTCTTCCGCTTGGCGTCGAGGGCGTTCAGGATGTCGCTGTGGTCTATGTCCCCACCCATCATGCCTGCAACTACCCACCCGCTCAGGCTGATGATACGCACGGTATCTATTGCTGTCTACCCCAACGATATTTTTGTGTCGGGCAGCCAAGTGCCTTCCTGTGGGGTCCCCTCTATCTGCAGGCAGCAGGTGGATTTTCATGACGGGGGACATGTATCTATTCTGCAGGGCCCCACTTGCCCTTGCCTCTGCTGCCCTTGACCCCTCGGTGTCGGTGGTTTGCTTTGCTGTGGTTGTTGCTCTCTTTCACAGGGCAGGGCAGCTGCTCCGGTACACAGCAAGATGAGCAGTGGTCGACGGCTCCCCGCTGCCGCTCTGTCAACCCTCTTTTTCGCCATGCACACCGGAGCTTTCCGGCTGGGCGTCAGCACGTCGTCAGCAGGTGAGCAAGCGGTTGGCAAGAGAGCACCGCAGCAAACATGTGCACCGCAGCAGCAGCAGCAGCAGCAACAGCAGCAGCTGGCAAAGCTGTCTACTGCTGTGGCTGCGGTTCTGTCCGATGAAGATATCCCAGCCTTGATCGCTTTACGTGCGTCACATGGTGGCGATGCTCCCACTTTGGGGAGTACTGTAGTGCTACCCTATGCATACCATGTACATCAAGTTGCGAAATGGTAACTCTTGTGTCTTGCAACCACAGACACCTTGAGCGTGTGCGTGTAGGCAAGTCGTTCGCAGTCAGTGAGCGACGCTGGTAGCACACAGCAGCAGTAGTGTGGGAGATCGATGCCATGCTGTATGGTTGTGCAGCGGCAGATTGCGGTGGCACACACTACGATGAATGCCAGCCGTGATACGTCGAAAAGTGGCCCTCCAGTTGACAATGTGACACTGCTGAGGAGTTGCAGTCCAGCAGCCCCGCCTGCGGTGTAACTTCATTGTTACCACAGACCAAGAACACCACAGAGCACGTCGTGTAGCTCGAGCGTGAACGCGAATTTCAGGAATGACAAGTGGGTAGAGTTGAAGCAAGCATCCTCTTACCCGAATCTCGTACTGATGTCGAATCTCGTACTGATGTCGAAAAGGGAAAGTAGTTCACCCCGTAGCGGCTGGACACATACCCAAAGCGCGCCCCGGTGCAGACGCCGTCCCCAACATGTATCTCCCTGTGAGATGATCCTTGCAGCTTCCGAGGAATGACTACAGCGCCGCAGCGTACTTCCGTAACAAAGGCATGTACTTTTCTTCGAGGTTCAACAGATCTGAGAGCACGTGAAGACGAGAAGCATGCCAGTCGCACCACTACAACAGAGCAGTTCGGCCGGTCTGTCGTACTCCGTACATATAGAGCAAAGCGCAACAGCCTGGCCGCCGATACCACCTCTGACGGATAAGTCTTAAGGCTTGCCACTGAACAAAGAAAGAGGTCGACAAACACCGGCTACGGCTACGGCTATGTAGCGAAATAGGACTACCTCGAGATGTAAAGTACAGCAGTACAGTAGTGGTGGACCCTTTAAGTGCCGGTCGAATAGTGCCGGGTGCCCGGTATGGTGCTGGTGTTTTCGGCTTGCTCATATATAGAATGAAATACCAAGCCGTGCTGCACTTGGAATAGTGGCGTTGTCCCGTGCAATATAGTCGGTAAAATCTCTGGACACATGCAGGCACTATTCAGGGCCCACTACTCTGTATGAATGTCGAAAGCAACAGCAGTAGAACTGGCACCGGGTATGACGGTGTATGGCATGGCGAGGGGCACACGACGGGCGTGCACTTTGTCTTTGCCAGGGGGTGTACAGCAGTAGTGGAGGAATTAGTCACATGAACACGAGGTGTGGTTGTTTTGCACCGCATTGCAGATTTGGAACACGCATTTGACACGTGCAGCCGGCTTAAAATGTCGCCAAGACAGCGTTGACAGCAGGAAGTAAGACGCGAACGCTGAATCTCTCCCGCTCCTCCTGCCTATACAGTATCGAGGACGTCTGGCGGTGCACTTTTGGCCACGTAGCATACATGTATGAGAAATAGAACACTCTTAGCAACACGTTCACGCCTTGCCAGGTAGGGGCCACAACATGTTTGGTACCTTTATGTTTTTTTCATCATTTCTACCCGCCCTCCATCCCAACCGCCGCCCCCCTTGCGCAGGTAGGGCGACCCTTGCGCGATCCAACCCCCTGGCCCGAACCGGCAGCGGTTCCTCCGCTTCGCAGCAGTTCCGCCGCACCCACCGAACGGCCCAGAGAGTAGCCGCTACCACCTCCACGAGGAGAAGCATGGTGGCGTCATCGGCTGCCGGCGCCGACACCGCCGGCAAAGGGGGTGCCGTGGATGAGGAGGAGGGGGGGGATGCTGCCGGCGGGGGCGCTGGCGGTGAGCCCGGGTGTTCGATGGACGAGCTGGTGGGGCTGTGCAAGCGCAGGGGCTTCGTGTTCCCTTCGTCGGAGGTGTGTGTGTTGTGTGTTTGTTCGACCGCGTTACCTGCCTGACCAATGGGAAGACGTCAGATCATGCGTGTGTGCGTGTATTTACTTCTAGTGGCGCACACGCGGCAATCAGTTGACCAATGAAATGAAGTCAGTCTCAAACTGAAAACGCTGTGTGCGTTTTTTTTTTTGTACTATTATTGTTATTAGCAGCGACGGCGCTAACCGGTGAGCAATGAAAAGACGTGAATCTCAGCGCGGTTGAAAACACGAAACGCTTCTATAGGCCATGGTCTGGGACCCCGCGGGGGGGCGTCATGGGGGAGGCCATGTTACTCTCCGGAGTAAATCTGTATTTTAGCATCGACCGCGCTAACCCACCAACCAATGCAGAGGCGTCAAGTCTCAGTGCGGCTGTCTCATTGCACCAACCAACGGCTAGCGGCGACGCACAAGTGACATCTCGAAGACGTCGAGTGAGGTGGGAGAAAGACCCACCTTTCGCGAGGTTACCGTGCTGCATGTGTGTTGACGTCCTGGCAAAAACCTAAAGCGCGAAATCCAGCTGCTTGTGTGTCAACAAGTGTTAACGATTTTGTCAACACCAGACTTTTAGCAGCAGAAGGACATGGGAGTATTGAGTATTGCACACCACAATGGTTCGACTTCGAAGAACTCGAGCTTGAAGGACGATTACCTATAAAACATGTCGTGAGAAGAGTCCTTGCCCTTCTGCCTGTGTGTTGACGATGTGGCAAATTTGCAACTGGCGAACAAATAACTATGGGATATCAACACCCGACTCTTTGCAGCAGTATCAGGATATGAGGGGGAATTACATTCGATAATTTTCCGACATTGAGGAACTCGATCTTGGGAAGACCTACGTGTCGTGAGTCATATTCCTGCTGCAACCTGTGCGTTGGCGGTAGTGGCAATTTCGCAAATGGCGGACCACGTGGACACCAGACTCTTAGCGGTAGTACCAGGACGTGGGGGAACTACATTCGATATTTCCCAATTTCAAGAAGTCGAGCTGTAAGGACGAAAGAAGAACTACATTTTGCATACATGTCGTGACGTGAGTCCTCACCCCCCGGCTGCCTGTGTGTTGACGCCCCCCCCCCCCCCCCGGGGGGGGGGGAGAACTACCAAGGGTTTTCGGGGGTCTTCCACTACCGGCCCCTAGGGGGAAAAACGAAAAAAAAAA